GTGGTCAATAAGCAGCTCCAGTGGTCAGTGTTGAGTGGTCAGTGCCTGGTGTGGGGTCAGTGAGTGACCCCAGTGGTCAGTGTTGAGTGGTCAGTGAGTGACCCCAGTGGTCAGTGCCTGGTGTGGGGTCAGTGAATGACCCCAGGGGAGAGTGGGCAATAAAGGGTGTCCGGTGGGTGTTAAAGGGTGTTCAGTGGTCAGCAGAGGGTGTGGTGGTCAGTGAGTGGCGTGAAATGGTCAAAAAGGGGAGTGGGCAATAAAGGGTGTCCAGTGGGCATTAAAGGGTGTGGTGGTCAGTGGATGGCATGGTCAGTAAGGGGAAGGGAGTGGGCAATAAAGGGTGTCAAATGGTCAGCAGATAGTGTGGTGGTCAGTGCGTGGTGTGGAGTGGTCAGGGAGTGGTCAATAAAAGGTGTCCAGTGGCCAGCACAAGGTTTGGTGGTCAGTGAACTGCATGGAGTGGTCAGTAAGGGGAAGGGAGTGGTCATTAAAGGGTGTCCAGTGGTCAGCAGAGGGTTTGGGGGTCAGTGCATGGTGTGGTGGCCAATAAAGGTGATCAGTAAATGCTGTGGAGTGGTCAGTGATGGGGTCAGGTGGTCAATAAGCAGCTCCAGTGGTCAGTGTTGAGTGGTCAGTGAGTGACCCCAGTGGTCAGTGCCTGGTGTGGGGTCAGTGAATGACCCCAGTGGTCAGTGTTGAGTGGTCAGTGAGTGACCCCAGCGGTCAGTGGTCAGTGAGTGATCCCAGTGGTCAGTGAGTGACCCCAGTGGTCAGTGTTGAGTGGTCAGTGAGTGACCCCAGCGGTCAGTGTTGAGTGGTCAGTGAGTGACCCCAGCGGTCAGTGGTCAGTGAGTGATCCCAGTGGTCAGTGAGTGACCCCAGTGGTCAGTGTTGAGTGGTCAGTGCCTGGTGTGGGGTCAGTGAGTGACCCCAGTGGTCAGTGGTCAGTGTTGAGTGGTCAGTGAGTGACCCCAGCGGTGAGTGAGTAACTGAGGTGGTCAGGGGTCAGTGAGAGGTGTGGGGTCAGTGAATGACCCCAGTGGTCAGTGGTCAGTGTTGAGTGGTCAGTGAGTGACCCCAGTGGTCAGTGTTGAGTGGTCAGTGAGTGACCCCAGCGGTCAGTGTTGAGTGGTCAGTGCCTGGTGTGGGGCCAGTGAGGGACCCCAGTGGTCAGTGAGTGACCCCAGCGGTCAGTGTTGAGTGGTCAGTGCCTGGTGTGGGGTCAGTGAGTGACCCCAGTGGTCAGTGGTCAGTGTTGAGTGGTCAGTGAGTGACCCCAGCGGTGAGTGAGTAACTGAGGTGGTCAGTGGTCAGTGAGTGGTGTGGGGTCAGTGAATGACCCCAGTGGTCAGTGGTGAGGGGGCAGTGAGTGACCCCAGTGGTCAGTGCCTGGTGTGGGGTCAGTGAGTGACCCCAGTGGTCAGTGGTCAGTGTTGAGTGGTCAGTGAGTGACCCCAGTGGTCAGTGAGTGACCCCAGCGGTCCCTGCTCAATAAAATCCCATTTTTCCATTTTCTCCCCCAATTCCCCCCCAGTCACTCCCGGCCGCTGCAGAACGGATTTTACTGGAAAACCTCAGGATTTACAAAGCTCGCCCCCCGCCCGCCCCCCCCGGGGGGCTCCGTCCCGGTGATATTCGGCCCCCGGGGGCGGCTGCCCCGCCGTCCCCGCGTCCCCGCAGCCCCCCTCGGGCTCGCATCCGCAGCCCAGCACCTCCCTGAGCACGAACCCCACGGCCGCGCTCACCTCGCTCTGCGGGACCCCCCCGCGGCCCCCCGGGGGTCTCAGCGGGAGCGGGATCAGGAATTTCCCTTGGGAAGCGGCCGGACTGGCGGGGCTGGCGGCGGGCCCGGGCTGCAGCAGCCGCATCACGCCCCAGGGGCGGCCCCGCCGCGATTTCTGCAGGAACTCGGCGCCGCGACAGAGCCGGGCGGCGTCGCGACAGCAGCGCACGAATCGCGACACCGTGCGCGCCGGGACGTTGGCCGCCACGTTGTGGCTCAGCTCGAAGGGGTCCTGAAGGGTCAGGGGGCCCGGGCGGAGACCCCCGAGGCTCTCGGGTGGGGGGCGAGGCAGAGCTCGGCCCTCCAGGGGGGACAGGAGGAGCCCCCCCAAATCCAGGGTCCCGAAATAGGAGAAGAACTCGGCCAGGAGGGAGGCTGGGAAGGGAGGGGGGGGGGTCAGAGAGCTGTGGTGGAGACAGCCCCGGAAATAGTTAGGACACCCCAAAAATCAGGCAGAAATAACGCAGGAAAGAGCCTCGAAACCAGCCAGAAAGTGCTCTAAAAACAACCAGAAACAACCCCAAAAACACCCCTAAAAACACCCAAAAACACCCTCAAAATCACCCAGAAACAACCCCAAAAACACCCCTAAAAACACCCAGAAACAACCTCAAAAACACCCTCAAAATCACCCCCAAAACACCCCTAAAAACACCCAGAAACAACCCCAAAAACACCCTCAAAATCACCCAGAAACAACCCCAAAAACACCCCCCAAACTACCCAGAAACAGCCCAAATAACACCCCAAAAAACACCCAGAAACACCCCCCAAAACCACCCAGAAACAACCCCAAAATCACCTTCAAAATCACCCAGAAAACGCCCCCAAATCACCCAGAAACAGCCCCAAAAACACCCAGAAAACACCTTAGAAACCCCCCAAAACCACCCCAAAAACCCAGTGGGCTTGGAGCCCCTCCCCAATTTAGGAACCCCCCACAAAGGGACTTGTGCCCCCTGGTTTGGAGCCCCTCTTGGATTTAGGACCCCCCCCTCAAATTTGGGCCCCCCCAATGGATTTGAAGACCCTCCCAGATTTAGGGACCCCCCCCCCCATTGGGTA